AAAGAAAACCTAGAAAATGCAAGTGATGAAAACCTGGGAATAAAAAGGCCCAGCAGTAAAATTAAACAGCGGGACTTGCCCTGATAGATAGAACTCATCAGACTTAGATGGGCTTTTGAAAATTGAATAAAAATGTCCTCCTGTCAACCGGCAGAGATAACAGGAATAGGGCTGGTTTGGCTGCCTTTGGCAGTTGGTGTGGCACCGAGGCTGCATTCTGAATGGATGAATCTCGGCTGCCTTCGTCCCTCTTCCATTAATTCTTCTGCTGCTTTGGGTTAGGCTTCCTCTTGACACCCACACTTATCCTTAAATAACGGTGGTGCAAGGGTTATTGTCCTATAGTGCAAGAGAAATACTTTGAAAAGGGAGGTGGAACTGCTAAGTTAAAAACCAGCTATTCTTAGTGAGCAATTCTCCCGTGAGATTAATACAGAATAGAATAACAGTTGGAAGGGGCCTTGGAGGTCTTCTACCATGTTTCCCCTGTCTTTTTTTCTTTTTGCCACCCAAAAAAGCACCAGGTCTTATTTTTTTTGGGGGGGGGGGCGTGTCACCCACTGACTAACCTCACTAGCGTGTGTCACCCTTGGCCTCCTTTTCACCGGCAAGGCTTTCCTGAAGGCCTCTGCAGCCAATAACAGCTCTGGGTCGATCCGGAGCTTTGTTATCAGCTACAGAGGCCTTTAGGAAAACCTTGCTGGCTGAAGAAGAAATGGGCCGGCAAGGCAGGTGTCAGGGTGTGTGAGGCCTGGCTACAACTGTCCAAAACATCCTAGCTTAATTTTTACCTGTGCACTCTGGAGTGAGCAGGATCTTAATTGCACCAAGACAAATTCCTTGTGTGTCCAATCATACTTGGCCAATAAAAGAATTTTACTAGGGTTTATTTTGGGGGGTAGGGCTTATATTGGGTGCACATGGGAAAAAAACAAGCTAGGACTTACTTTCAGGGTAGGTCATGTTTTCAGGGAAACAGGGTAGTCCAGGGGTGTCAAGCTCGATTTTATTGAGGGCCACATCAGGATTGTGGTTGACCTGGGGGGGCAGGGGGGGTGAGGCTGGGGGGGGCATGGCCAACTTGATGTCACTCATATTGGGGGGGGTGCTTGTAGTGGCCCAGGCGGGGCTGGGGGAATCCATTGACTCCAGCACGCGCCCAGAGGGCGAGGTGGGGCAGCCCCTTGCCAGATCCAGGGCAGCTCCGTGGATCTGACTGCGTTCCAACCTGAATGGCCGCCTCCAAGTTGTAGTTCAGCACCCCGCTGACCTGGGCTGGGGCCGAGGTGCTAGGAGCCGGTCCTCCACTGTTTCCAGGGCAACCCCACAGGCCAGATCTAACCACTTCGCAGGCCGGGTGCAGCCCGCGGGCCTTGAGTTTGACACCTTCTGGAGGCAAGTCGTTCCACTGGTTAATTGTTCCAACTGTCAGGAAATTCCTCCTTGATTTAGTTTTCATCCGTTGCTTCTTGCCCTGCCTTCAGGGGCTTTGGAGAATAGCTTGACTCCCTCTTCTTTGGGGCAGCCCCTGAGCTATTGGAACACTGCTATCATGTCACCCCAATTCCTTCTAAACTAGACATACCCAATTCCAGCAACCGTTCTTTCAAAAAGAACAGTTGAAGAGCGGAAGAAGCTTCTTGGATGAGAAGCGAAAGGTCTTCAAAGAAAAACCAGAAAGTCCAATTGACTCTTGGGGAAAAAATGACTGAGAATCTCCATAGATGGTCTTTATATGTTTTAGCCTCCAATTCCCTTAATCATCTTTGTTGCTCATCTAAATAAGGCGACTATTTCCCCAACATCCCAGCCTGTAGGCCCATAGGCCACAATATTAGCAGGTGTTAATACGGCAGCTCAGTCCCTCCCTCCTAGCCCTTTCAGAAACTGGCACCCAGAGCAGAAGTAATACATACGTTGCTGTCTCTCTGCATGTGCCCGTTGTCAGCGGCAGGGATGCCCCCTTCTCCCCTTCCCCCTTTAATACATCTCCAGTGCCTTCACCATTCAGGAATAAATATGTAATGTGCTTGATAGCCCAAAATAATTCCCCCACTTTATCTCGGCTTTGTTCCTCTGGAAAGCTTGCCTGCTATTCCTCCGGCACGGTGATATGATACCTTCTTTTGTGGCCGCCTTGTCGCTGGCTAAACCACTGTTTGGAATGAACAGGCTGCTCTTTTTGATTTGCTAAAGCTGGCAAGAAGGAGGGAGGCAGGCACAGGATAAATGGGAAGTGTGTCCTGGAGTGTTTTCTTACCGCTAATCCAGAAACGTGGCTTGTGGAAGACTTCTAGATTTAAAATATAAGCAACCAAGTCTGTTCCTTTCCCCTAATGGCAGCATGGAGGGGCCCTAATTTGGGAAATAGTATTTCTTTCCATGGAGAAGGCCATACCTTCCATTTCCAGAATCTTCTGTCAGAGCTTATGGCTCAAAGGAGTTTCTTAGGCTTTGCAAACCTTCCACTTATTCATCAAGATTGCATGTTTCTTAGATACAGAAAGTCCTTCATTGGATCTCATGTTTGTCGATTCAGTGTTTCTCACCCTTGGCAACTTGAGATGGGTGGACTTCAACTCCCAGAAGTCTCCAGCTGGCTAGAGACTTCTGGGAGTTGAAATCCAAACATCTTAAAGTTGGAAAGTTTAAGAAACCTTGTTCCAGTTTAATAGGTCTGTGGAGATTCTCAGCTATCCAGGTCATGGTTGTCCCAAAGGTGCTTTTTTCAAGAGGCAACTGGACTTGTTTTGCTTTGGAAGGTGTTTCACTTCTCATCCAAGAAGCTTCTTCAGCTCTGACTGGATGGTGGGGAACGGAAGGATTGTATATTCCTTGCAGACAGCTGATCATTTGCATTGTTTTATAGAGTCATTGAGGCCACCCGGAGGTTTATCTGTGTCCTCAGGGTCACCTGAGTGGTGCAAATGAGTATGAAGCCTTCCTGGAACTGTTGAAAGGACTGTGTTATAAACAGGAGATAGATGATGTCCTGTCCCTCCTTCTCTGTTGAGAGAGGGCCGCTCAATTTGAACATAGGTGGCTTCTTTGACTCCTCTTTCAAACCAGCTTAATAATTTTTGTTCCAGTTTAATAGTCTGAGGCCCGAGTTCTTCCTAAGAAGTTCGGGAGCTACTTGTGATGCGGAGCTATGAGACAAGTGATCTAATTTAGTGGAAGGCAGCCTTTTGTGTTTTCTTTCCTCAGAAGATTTCCATTCTCTGTCAACTTCCTTTATGATAATTGGCCATTCCAGAATTCTTCTGAGGAAGTTGTCAGCTTGGCGAGGCAGTCCAGATAAGAACCGTGTACAGGTAGTCTAGGATGAACTACAGGTAGTCCTGACTTATGGGACAATCATGGAGCCCGGTCAGGCACAAGAAATCAGGAAACAAGGTGGTTCAAGTGACTATAGGTTACTTGCGTGCCAACATTCTCTGCAAGAATCTGAACTACTCAAATACGCTTTCAATAATATTTTACAATTATATATAAAGGAAAATTAAGTTTTGTTATCTGTTGTTAAGAGAAAGTTAAATAAATGTAGTGTTTTAAAAAGGATGTATACAAGAAGAAAAAATTATTCTATGAGGGTGACTTGGAGGGAGCATGTTAACTCCCAATAAATTCTGTTTACTTTTGGAAGTTTGGCTCGAGACTCATGATTTAATTGGGGTAACTGCCGGAATCCTGACAGGAGGTTTATCTGGATCACCTGAGTAGTGCTTCTGGATTCTGTCATCTGCAATTATTATTTTTTTTTTTGTGGAAATCCATTCCTGCTCCCACACCATTCAAAGAGTGTTCATCCCAAAGGGTGTGTCAGCTTTGGAAGCCATATTGAGACCAGATGCTCCCACACTGCCACATTTTGAGCCTGGGAAAGTGGGAGGGGGGGAATTTACTGGAGTATATCTAGTTAGACATAATAACATTCTTTTTCTGATTCAAGGTCAGGTTGTGTTGCACATAACTGAGAGGAAATCTTAACATGGGACAGATGGTGATTGGGGCCATGTGATGTGATGATGGATGCAGGGGATAGATTTTGTAGTTTTGACTTATTATAAGGAAGCCCAGAACTTTCAGATTTGGGATTCCACAGTTGTGCGAGTTTACTATACGAAATAAAAGGAACCTTTGAGAAGATGTCTGTCTCGGAGTTATTGGCTCAAATGGAGGGTTTGCTGGAACGCTGACAGGGTGTTCATTTGGGACAGCCATGTTCAGGGGTCGCCAACCTTTTGGACCCTGGGACGATCAAACTCATAATTTTAAATCCCGGGGACCAGAGAGATCCTGGAAGAATCCCCCCAAAAGTCTGCAAGAAAATTCCCCACCCTGTTTTCTTACCATCACAGAATACCATCTCCAGCTCCGTTCCCAGGGGGTTAGAAAGAGAGACTTTTGGCTTCATGCAAGGAAACCAGCAGAAGCAGCAGAAGTCTTTCTTTCTCTCCCCCAAACTCCGTCAGAAAGGAGTCTTTGTGAGACTTGTCATGCCGGCGCAGCCTCTTGGAGCAGGGTGCCTTGCAGGGTCCCAAGGCTTGCGTGCAGCCAAAAGCAGAAGAAGAAAGAAGCAGCCTAGTGGCCAGGCCAGGCGTGTGGGGCAAGTTCCCCCCACCACCCTTTCCCCCTCCCCTCACTACCTCATGTTGTTCATAATGCAAGCGATGCAAGCCTTGTGTTCCCGTGAGCCATGTGGGCGGTGCAGCATTGTGTTCCCGCACAAAATTGCTTTGGGGTGTGCTTTGGGCGGGGGGTGACATTTCTCTGCGGACCACCAAAATTTTCTCGCAGGCCACCAGTGGTCCCTGGCCCACTGGTTGGCGACCCACTGACCTGGATGACTGAGAATTTTTACAGACTTTCAGGGCTAGAGAAATCTTCCTCTGGGCCACGCCCAACCTGTCAGGTTCTCAACACCCTCTTCTCCTATCAAATGTGTGGCCTTCCTTGCAGAGAGTCTTCTTAAGGCCCTTTCTCCTTTTGCCCCGCAGGTTACAAAGCGTTAAAGGCTTTGCTGAGAAGCTTGGTGGATCTTCAGGATGAGCTGTGGCACCAGAACTCGGGGACCAGACATTTGGTAGCAGGAGAAAAGAAAAAGGAGAGGTAAAAAGGGCAGCAACGGATGGGAAACGGGCATGATAAAGGCCACAAAACACCTTTCCGACATCGGGGAGGTTGGCAGGAAAAAAAAAATGAGATAGGGGTTGAGCCCAAACTTTCTGTTGCTAAGCAAGTGGGTTGTTAAGTAAACTTCACCCCATCATACCCGCTCTCTTGCCAATGTTGTTAAGTCAATGGTCGCAGCTGTTAAGTTAGTAACACGATGGTTAAGTAAATCCGGCTCCCCCATTGACGTAGGCCTGTCCAGCATCTGGTGGTGCAACCCCGAAGCTATGGGCAAGTGAAGAGATTAATAGAGTTGGAAGGGACCAATCTAGGTCATGTAGTCCAACCCCCTGCCCAAGCAGGAGACCCTACACCATTTCTGACAAATGGCAGTCCAGTCTCTTCTTGAAAGCCTCCAGTGATGAAGCTCCCACAACTTCCGAGGGCAACCTCTGTTCCGTTGGTTGATTGTTTTCCCCGTCAGAAAATTTCTCCTTTATTTCTAGGTTGAATCTCTCCTTGTTCAGTTTCCATCCATTATTCCTTGTCTGGCCTTCAGGTGCCTTGGAAAATAGCTTAACCCCCTTCCTCTCTGTGGCAGCCCCTCAAACATTGAAACATTGCCATCATGTCTCCAGAGGTGGGCATTCAGCAGGTTCTGACCAGTTCTGGAGAACCGGTCACGGAAATTTTGAGTAGTTTGGGGAACCAGCAAATACCAGCTCTGACTGGCCCCGCCCCCATCTCTTCTCTGCCTTCCGAGTCCCAGCTGATTGGCTGGGTCTCCTTTGGTTGCCTTGCACAGGAGAAAGGATCTGGAAAGCAGGTTAGTGCGGTGGGAATGGGATTTTGCAATAACCTTCCCCTGCCACACCCACCAAGCCACGCCCACATAACTGGTAGTAAAAAAAAATTGAATCCCACCACTGCATCTCTCCCCTGGTCCTTCTCTTCCCTAGACTAGCCAGGCCCAGTTCCTGCAACTGTTCACCGTATGTTTTAGCCTCCAGCCCCCTAATCCTCTTGGTTGCTCTTCTCTGCCCTCTTTCTAGAGCCTCATTTAAGCTAGTTTAAGAGAAATTGAAATTTAACTTCGTGTAAGGAATTCTTGGGAGTTGAAGTCCACACATTGTAAAATTTGCCATAGTGGCCCCCACCCCGATTTAAACATAAAACCCGGTCGTAAGTGGCCATGTTGGCTGAGGCCAAAAAAGAGCCGATTCAGAAAACATCTGGCAACACCAATGTCTTGATTTGGGGGGGGGCACTGGAAGGCCACGATGAGGCGTCTGAAATGATATCTCACTTGCCCACTTATACTTTGTGTGTGTGTTTGTGTGTGTGTGTGTGTGTGTGTGTGTGTGTGTGTATCCATCCCATCACCCATCCCTATGTATGTATGTATGTATCTATATATCTATCTCTGTTTTCTTAAGTTTTCGCGGGTATTTATATGTATGGTATTCAGCTTTGTTCGGGTATTTCCGCACGTCATTATAGTTGTGCTTTTAAAGTTGTAGCAACATTTCGGCAGAATCTCATCTGCCATCATCAGGCTTCTGTATTGTGTTCGTCTGAACACAATACAGATGAACGGACGAACACAATACAGAAGCCTGACGATGGCAGATGAGATTCTGCCGAAACGTTGCTACAACTTTAAAAGCACAACTATAATGATGTGGGAAAATAGCTGAACAAAGCTGAATACTATACGTACATACATACATACATACATACATACATACATACATACATACATTCTCCCTTTTGCATTAGGCCTAAGGCTTATCCAGGGATAAGGTTCAGAGCTGTCGAAAGACTTGTTCCCATTTCATAGGGTATTATCTGCCTGTGTGATTACATGGCTTTAACGGGGGATTAGCTATTCATAGAGGAGGGGGGAAAATGCAATCAGCGCTTGTTGACCATAAGGCTAAATGGAAATGCCATATTCAGGGGCAGTATACCATTGAAGGCCAAGATGATCTGAAGCAGCTAAGGATAAATCCGCCGCTTTGACAGAGTAACCGAGTTGGAAGGGACCTTGGAGGTCTTCTAGTCCAATCCCCTGCTCACGCAGGAAACTCTATACAGGTAGTCCTCGACTTAACAGCAATTCGTTTAGCGACTCTTAGAAGTCACAACGGCAATGAAAAAAGTGACTTATGACCGTTTTTCACACAGCATGTGACCAAAAATTCAGACACTTGGCAACTGACTTGTAGTTATGACAGTTGCAGTGTCCTGGGGTCACAAGATCCCCTTTTGTGACCTGACGAGTTATTAACTTAACTGCAGTGATTCACTTAACAACTGTGGCAAGAAATGTCATGAAATGGGGCAAAATTAACATAACTGTCTCACTTAACTTAGTGACAGAAATTTGGACGTCCGTTGTGGTCATAACTCGAGGACTACCTGTACCACTTCAGACAAATGGTTATCCAATCTCTTCTTAAAAACTTTCAGTGTTGGAGAATTCACAACTTATAAAGGCAAATTCTTCCACTGATTAATGGTTCTGTCTGTCAGGAAATTTACCCTTAGTTCTAAAGTTGCTTTTTTCCCTGATTAGTTTCCACCCGTCGCTTCTTGTCCTGCCTTCAGGTGCTTTGGGGAATAGCTTGACCCCCTCTTCTTTGTGGCAACCCTTGAGATATTGGAAGTCTGCTATCATGTCACCCCTGGTCCTTTTAAATTAGCCATGCCCAATTCCAGCAACCATTCTTTATATGAAGAATGGTTGAAGAGTTGAAGAAGCCTTTTGGATGAGAAGTGAAACGTCTTCAAAGAAAAACCAGGACGTCCAGTTGCCTCTTGAAACAAAAAAAAACAAAAACAGGTTGCTTCTCCCCTTGATTAGTTTCCATCCATTCCTTCAGTTTGACAGCCTTGCTCTTAGGTTGCCTGTTGCTAAGCGGATTTGGTGATAAAACCGTACTAAAGAAAGGAAGCGGTCAGGAGATGCTCGGAAAACTCTGTAGGCTAATTACACCGCCATCTTTATTGTCAGCGATGAAGAGATCTCAAGTGGCAGCGATGAAGCTGAGGAAGGGAAGAGGGCTGTGCGGAGGCTGCCCAAACGGAAGCTGGAGATGGAGGACTACCCCGAATTCGCATCCAAGAGGTTTGCGGAGTTTCGGGTCTACAGAAACAACACCCTACAGAAGTGGCACGACAGGACCAAACTGGCTTCTGGCAAACTGGGCAAGGCAAGTATGTCTTCTCTATAGAGGTGCTGAGGAGTCAGGCGTGGTATGAACTCACCAGCAAGAAGCCTGGTGCCTTTTGAGTTCTAGTCCCGCCTAAGGCACCAAAGCTTCCTGGGTGACTTTGGGCCAATCCAGAAGGAGACTCTTGAGTTCTGGTCCCGCCTTAGGCATGAAAGCTAGCTGGGTGACTTTGGGGTCAGTCACCAGGAGACTATATAGATATATAGATTAGATAGATAGATAGATAGATAGATAGATAGATAGATAGATAGATAGATAGATGGATGGATGGATAGGTAGGTAGGTAGGTAGATAGATAGGTAGGTAGATAGACTGTATTTATAGATATAAATATATATAGAGAGAGATTAGAGATAGATAGATAGATAGATAGATAGATAGATAGATAGATAAATAGATAGATAGATAGATGATAGATAGATAGATAATAGAGATAGATAGATAGATAGTTAGATATATAGATATATAGAGTAGATATAGATTAGATAGATTAGATAGGTAGGTAGGTAGGTAGGTAGGTAGACTGTATTTATAGATATAAATATATAGAGAGAGAGATTAGAGATAGATAGATAGATAGATAGATAGATAGATAGATAGATAGATAGATAGATAGATAGATGATAGAGATAGATAGATAGTTATATATATAGATATATAGAGTAGATATAGATTAGGTAGGTAGATAGATAGATTGTATTTATATATATATATATAGAGAGAGAGAGAGATTAGAGATAGATAGATAGATAGATAGGTAGATAGATAGATAGATGATAGAGATAGATAGATAGAGTTATATATAGAGATATATAGAGTAGATATAGATTAGATAGGTAGGTAGGTAGGTAGGTAGATAGATTGTATTTATATATATATATATATAGAGAGAGAGATTAGAGATAGATAGATAGATAGATAGATAGATAGATAGATAGATGATAGATAGATAGATAGTATATATATATATATATATATATATATATATATATAGAGAGAGAGAGAGAGAGAGAGAGAGAGAGAGAGAGAGAGAGAGAGATTAGAGATAGATAGATAGATAGATGATAGATATGCTGATCATTGGCTGGTAAAGAAAGACAGGGTGGTGGTTAGGAAGTGGGAGAAACCACAGCGTCTTTTCTGCTCTTCCCTGACCTCGCTTGATGGTCTTCCAGGGCTTTGGCGCCTTTGAGCGATCCATCTTGACCCAAGTAGATCACATCCTGATGGACAAAGAGAGGTTACTCCGTCGGACCCAGACCAAGAGGTCAGCATACAGGGTGCTGGGAAAAACCCCTTCGGATGCTGAGGTGCTTCCAGAAACCGAACTGGACGAGACGGTAAGGAATAATGACGCAGATTGAACTAAGCAGGGGGAACACATTGGCTCTCTTAGTTGGAAGAAATTGATTTGTGGGGGGGGGGGGGGGGGGGGAGCTGATCGCAACAAATTTCAGGTAGTCCTCAACTTATGACCATTCATTTAATGACTGCTTGAAGTTACGACGGTGTCCAAAAAAAAGTGACTTACAGCTGGTCCTTCAACTTATAGCCGTCATAGTTTCCCTGTGGTCATATGGCCACAGTTGAGGCACTTGGCAGCAATATTTACAATATTTGCAATGCTCCAGGTCACATGATCATTATTTGCAACCTATCCAGGGGGCTTCCGACAGGCAAAGTCAGTGGGGGGGGGGGGGGAGCCAGATTCGTGATTCACTTAACGACCGCAATGAAAAGGGTTGCAAGATTGGGCCTGGCTCACTTAACAACTGCATCCCTTTGCAACAGTTTTGGTCCCAGTTGTGTTTGTAAGTCAAGGGCTACCTGTCGCGCACTGTTACACGACTGTGGTGGTTGTTAAATGAATCCATTTAAAGCAGTGGGCTTTTGGTGTGTGTGTGTGTGTGTGTGTGTGTGTGTGTGTGTGTGTGTTCAGGTGACTATGGGACACTGCAAGTCACCATATATGCAAGCCGGTTGCTTAGGGCTCCAAATGCAACCACACAACCACAAAATGTGTGTGCATGCGTGTGCAGTTGTCGTAACTCCAGGTCTCTTTAACTTTAAGCTAAGATAACCTAGTGTCCTTTTTTTTTTTTTTTTAACTCTGAGCACATTGGTATACATTAAATATGAACATTTGTTGCCTGCTCTCTAGAGCAAGCAAGGGTGTCAAACTTGCATCGTCACGGAAACATCACGTGACATATCGTGACCTCCCCCCCCCCAGTTGCTAAACCGGGTGTGGGCGTGTCCAGCCCGCAGGCTGCGAGTTTGACAGCCCTGCTCTAGAGACAGTATAGATCTAACCAAACACAAACAGAATACACATGTACACATGCTATATACATATATACATATATAGCTTCTCTCACTTGCTCTCCCACTCCCTCCCTCCCTGTCCCCTCCCCCCCTCTCTCCCTCCCTCTCTCCCCTGTCCTTCCCTCCCCGTCTCCCTCTCTCTCTTCCTCCCCCTGTTTCCCTTTGTCCCTCTCTCCCTCCCTCCGCTGTCTGTCTCCCCCTCTCTCCCCCCTCCCTCTCTCCTTCACCCCTTGTCTCCCTCTCTATCTCCCTCCCACTCCCCCTGTCCCTCTTCCCCTGTCCCTCCCCCTCTCTCCTTCTGCCTCCTTCACACTCTCTCTCACTCCCCTCTCCCTCTCTCCCTCTCTCCCTCCCACTCTCCCTTCCCTCCCTCCCTCCCCTGTCCTTCCCTCCCCTCTCTTCCTCCCACTCTCCCCTTCCTTCCCTCTCTCCCCTGTCCTTCCCTCCCTGTCTCCCTCTCTCTCTTCCTCCCCCTGTCTCCCCTTCTCCCTCTCTCCACTGTCTGTCTCCCCCTCTCTCTCCCCCTCTCCCTCTTTCCCTCACCCCTCTGTCTCCCTCTCTATCTCCCTCCCACTCCCCCCTCTCCTCCTGCCTCCCTCACTCTCTCTCCCACTCCCCCCTCTCCCTTCCTCCTCCCCTGTCCTTCCCTCCTCCTCCCTCCCTCCCTCCCTCCCTCTCTCTTTCTATGCGTACACACACACTAATCACTGTTCATTTTGAATACATGGCGAAAAGAGGAAACTTGAGAGTTCATAACGTTGATGCTATATGGAGCAAAACTGTGATTGAATCTAGATGTTCTTCAAATACCACGAAGCCCCCTCCCACAAGGTAACAAGGAACTTTAAATGGTCATTAAGTGATCGGTCGCTTAGTGAGGACTGCCTGTAAAGGTTAGGTGGACTCAGATGGAGCAGCGTTACCAGTTTCCTTTATGGGAAACGGCTGTTCGGTGCAGCTGGGGTGATGTGTTTGTTTGAAAAGAGCCACATCTTGTGAAATTTCCTATTTTGCATGCACAGTGGGCTTCCCTCCGCCCGCCCCCCCCCCACCTTTCAAATCCTGGATAACTAGAGTAATATGTCATGTTTATAAGCTATCATCTGATTTGAAAATCAAGGACTTGTTTGCTTGAGCTGTGCAAAGACTTTTGACGGATGATGGTCTTCTTGGACCTTCTCACTCCAGAAAGAATGCACATAGGAGAGGGAACAAAATAGCCCTGCCTTCGGTGTCCGTTTGAGTGTACATATATTATAGACAAATTGTGTATGTACAAAAGCTTCTCTTGGTTTTGAAGTCAAAGCATGCCCCAAGATGCTCGAAACAGCTCATTTAAAGTTCAAGGCAGTAGTCACCCTTTTGAAATGGGAGATTTCATGGTATTTCACATTCAGAATGAAGCATTTTTGCATATTCCGAAGATTTCTGGAGCAACAAATAGCAAAGCAGTGCGAGAGGGTTGTGGGGAGGTTAGCAAAAGAAGGAAGAATAGTCAGTCAAAAAGAAAGAAAGTAAGTAATTGAGCCTGTTGGCGGCTTATCTCATAAACAGCAATTCAGTCCAGGTGAAGAGAAAGCTGAGAAGAAGAAAAAGTTTAAATTATCCTAAGAGATTCTGCTTTATCTCTTAAATGGCAATTCAGCTCTGGTGGAGAGAAAGCTGGAAAGAAGCATTTCAATGTCTATTTAAGCATCCCCATCTTAATGGACTCACCAGAAAGGAAGGTGGGGAATTCCTCTTAGGCTGCCCAAAATTCTCTATTGATCCCAGAGGAGCATTGAATAAAATCTGTGTAGTTCTTGCTTAATTGTTCCTGACTTGTAGCATGGAATCTCTTGACACTTGTGGTACCTTTAAACATGAGCAAATGTATTATTGTATGCGCAAGAAGAGCTTCAGTAATAATAGATTTCTTATATTTATGGTGCCACAAGATCTTCAGTAGTATAGAAGATGGTAAGGAGGCATTCTTCAAATGTCTGAACTACACATTGCTTTACTTCTGGTTACACCTCTTGACCTGGTAGGTCAAATGGAGGAAGCTAGAATGACTGACGGCCACTACTGACTGTCAAACAAAACTTCAGATAGCAATAGCACTTAGACTTACATACTGCAATACTGCAGGCTACTCCTGCTGACTGCCAGCTGCCAGCAGTTTGGCAGTTCGAGTCTCACCAGGCTCAAGGTTGACTCAGCCTTCCGTCCTTCTGAGGTCGGTTAAAATGAGGACCCAGATTCTTGGGGGCAATAGAGGCTGACTCTGTAAAACCGCTTAGTATATAAGACAGTATATAAGTCTTATTGCTATTGCAGGCAAATTCTGACCAGCTCAAGGTTAACTCAGCTTTCCATCCTTCCAAGATCAGTCCATCCTTCCTTCAGTCCATCCTTCCAAGATCAGATTCCTGGGGGCAATAGAAGCTGACTCTGTAAAACCGCTTAGGGCTGGAAAGCGCTTTGAGGCAGTATATAAGTCTTATTGCTATTGCAGGCAAACTCTGCCAACTACCAGGAGTTCGATTCCTGACCAGCTCAAGGTTAACTCAGCCTTCCAGCCTTCCAAGATCAGTAAAATGAGGACCAGATTGTTGGGGGCAATAGGTTGACTCAGCAAACTGCTTAGAGAGGGCTGGAAACCACTGTAAAGTGGTATATAACTCTAAGTGCTATTGCAAGCAAACTCTGGCCACTACCAGGAGTTTAATTCCTGACCGGCTGAAGGTTGACTCAGCCTTCCATCCTTCCAAGGTTGGTAAAACGAGGCCCCAGGTTGCTGGAGGCCATACGCTGACTCTGTAAACCGCTCAGAGAGGGCTATAAAGCACTGTGAAGCAGTATATAAGTCTGAGTGCTATTGCTATCTACAAAAGCCACTGTGAACCTAGATCAGTAGTTCTTAAGCCGTTTCACCCAATTACCTTTTCCCACACTCAAATGCTGTCATTGTCTTCACCTCCCCAGGATCTGTTGTTTTGCACAAGTTTTGGCAGTGGCATTCTCCTTAACTCACAAACAAGCAAACGCAAATGGCTCCACTACCCTCAGGGTACGCCCGGATTACACACACACACGCATAACCCCCAGTTTAAGAACCACCGTTCTAGCTTGGAGCTGTGACAGTCCTCATGGAAGTATCTCTTCTTTCTCGCCCTTCTAGGAGACGCTTCCTCCAGCAATGTCAAATGCCCACCTCAAAGACCTGGACGAGGAGATCTTCGATGACGATGACTTTTATCACCAGGTGAGTCCCGCCTGACAAGCGCAAGTGTGTTGAAGGAAAGCCACCTGAACACGTTAAGTGTCCATTACTGGGGGATTTTTCCCCATCATCTGGCTGAAGAGTTGTGTGAAACAGAGTTTTTTACACACACACACACACACAAACACACACACACACACACACACGTAAACCTCTCAACTGATCTGATCGCTGCTGAGGCCAGCATAGCTGGGCGTGAGTAGGGAAAAATGTTCCTCTAAAATGACATTCCAATGTTCTCCTTGGATACCCGTTTCCATCCCGACACGCATGTTGATGAACTGAAAAACGTTACAGGTACTCTTCGGCGCATGACCACAATGGAGCCTGCCCATCACAAGTTGTAAGTCATGACAGTCATAAATCACTTACATGACTGACCTGATTATACGATCTTTTTGGCCACGGTCACTAAGTGAACAGTGCAGTTGTAAGGTGACCGTTGCCGTCATTAAAAGAAACCAATGGTTCACTGTGGGCTGGTTTTATAAATGCCATTTTGGGGGAGGGGGACTGTGACCATGGGGTGCTGCATGTATAGCTGAGTACAGGTAGTCTTTGACATATGATAGGTTCATTCAGTGACTGTTCAAAGTTACAACGTCACTGAAAAAACAGCTGCAGCATCCCCATAACCATATGATCAAAATTCAAACACTTGGCACCCCTATTTATGACGGTTGCAGTGGTCCCTGGGTCTGGTGATCCCCTTTTGCGACCTTCTGCCAAGCAGAGTCAACGGGGAAGCCAGCTTCACTTAACGGCCATGCTGCTAACTTGACCGCTGCGATGATTGACTTAATAACTCTGGCAAGAAAGATTGTAAAAAGGGACAAAGCTCACTTAACAAGCGTCTCACTTAGCAACATAAATTTTGGACTCGACTGTGGTCGTAAGTTGAGGACTACCTGTTGTGGTTCTCCGGCAGCAGGTACGGATAGCTGAGGTCTCGGAGAGCGAAGACTCAGATGAGGGGCCTGTGTGTGTGATGCAGGGATGGGGCCAGGACCATCAGGGAGTGGAAGGCTGCCTTCGGAGATTGTGGAGGCTGGCAGCAGTGATGAAGAGCCCACCGAGGAGCCTGTGCCCAGTGCGCTTGCGCTCAGGGCTGCTCGAAGGAAAGCGCAACTGCAGCAGCACGGGTAACTCGGGAGTAAGGCTGCAAGGTGATGGCCCCTCCCTTAAGGGATAAAAGCCAGCTGAGAAACTGGAGTTTTTTGCAGGAAGCAAGGAAGTTTTTTGCACTCAAGACTTGTGGATGTTCAGAATATCTTGGTTGGTGTTTGGAGACTCTTTGTGTTTGAAACATTTCTTGGCAACTTTATCTAGTGTTCTTGGCAGCCTTGCACAACCTTGGCAAGGCTCGTTCTTATCAGAGACAATTAGTTTGAAACAGCCTTTTAACCGGGATGGAATTAGTAAAGAATCATTAAAAGGTTTTGCTGTTACCTCCTTTTCGTGTTTGTTTCCTTGGAACAAGGTTTGGGTCAGAACACTGCCTGTCTCCGACTCGTGATCATGTGACTGCGGGTGAGGGTGGCCATCGAAACTTCAGAACTGGCTCATCAGTACCACCAGACAGATCTTTCATCTTCTGTGCTCTCGAACGGTCACTGAGTGACTGGCCATAAGTCGAGGACTATCTGTATTGTGAATAAATAGCAATAGCAACAGCATTTTAGGCTTGCATCCTGCCCCATGTTGTTTCATCATTCTCTGGGTGGTTTACAACATGAAAGCATTATTTTGCATATTGCCCCCAATAATCTGGGCCTTCCTTTTATCGACCTCTGAAGGATGGAAGGCTGAGTCAAACTTGAGACCCACCAGGATCGAACTTCAGCTGTGGGCAGAGTTAGCCTGCAATTCTGCATTCTAAAAGGCCCCTAAAGGTTCCTTTCTTCTTTTCTTTTCCTTAAAAAAAAAAAAAAGTGGGGTGTATTTGAACCCATGGACAAAATGTCCATCTCTGCAGTGGAGTACAGGTAGTCCTCAGCGTATGGCCATAATTGAGCTCGAAGTCTGTGTTGCTAAGTGAAAAAATTGTTAAGTGAATTTTGTCTCATTTTACGACTTTTTTTCTGCCACATTTGTTAAGTGAATCCCTGCAGTTGTTAAATTGTTGTTGTTAGTTGCAAAGTCGTGTCCGACCCATCGCGACCCCATGGACAATGTTCCTCCAGGCCTTCTTGTCCTCTACCATCTCCCGGAGTCCATTTAAGGTCACACCTACTACTTCAGCAACTCCATCCAGCCACCTACTTCCTTCTCTGCCGTCCCCTTCTTCTTCTATTGTCCTCAATCGTTCCCAGCATTAGGCTCTTCTCCAGGGAGTCCTTCCTTCTCATGAGGTGGCCAAACTGTTTGAGTTTCTTCTTCAGGATCTGGCCTTCTAAAGAGCAGTCAGAGTTGATCTCCTCTAGGACTGACCGGTTGGATGGCCTTGCAGTCCAAGAGACTCGCCAAGGGAGTCTTCTCCAGCACCAGAGTTCAAAGGCCTCCCTTCTTTGGCGCTCAGCCTTCCGTATGGTCCAACTTTCACAGCCATACATTGCAACTGAGGAAACCAGAGCCTTGACTATACGCACTTTTGTAGGCAAGGTGATGTCTCTGCTTTTTAGTATGCTGTCTAGATTGGCCATAGCTTTCCTCCCCAGGAGCAAGCATCTTTTGATTTCTTGTCAGTAGTCCCCATCTGCGGTGATCTTGGAGCCCAGGAAAATAAAATCTGTCACTACCTCCATTTCTTCTCCATCTATTTGTCAGGAATTTGAGAGGGCCGGAATGCCACGATTGCTAAATGAGTAACACGATTCAGTGAATCTGGTTCCCCCATTGGCTTTGCTTGTCAGAAGGTCACCAAAGGTGAAAGGAGAAGGGGGCGGCCGAGAAGGAGATGGTTAGAAAATTGCATGAGAATGGGGCATGCAGTTCAGAGTAATTGTGGCTGGGTGTTGGTGAACGCTGGCATGTCACCCAAAACGCTGCGGTGTTTCCCCTTTGACAAGTGTGTCACATGTTTGCCACCGCTGCCTTAAAGGAGATTGTGTCAATCAATAAACAGACAGGCAATCGATTGCTGGGATACAGAGCCGGTAAAGTTTCACAGTGTTGGGACTTCGAATCATATTGTGCCGTCTGCAAATACTTTTCATTTGCTGTTCCATGGCTTCAGACTTGAACAGTGTCGCAGCTCTGTGATCCCTCCTCCAAGGAGCAGGGATGCCAAGGTTAATCCAAATTAAAGCTCAGAGCGGAAACAAGAACGATCTGAATCTAAACACCTTCGGTTCCCGAGAGTTGTCGCCTGCTTGCTTCGGGATTTCAGACGTAGATTTTGGGGGCCCGCAGGCCGAGAGCGTCGACTAAACAGGAGCGCTTCCAGTCTGAAATTTGGGGTGTTGGGTTTTTTTTTAAAGAGGTTTGGTGCTTGCATACTTGGTGCTCCGATGGCGTGTCTGCCCGTCTGTGTTCTGACCCAGGCTTCGTTCAAATTAAGAAAACACAAACTGTGTGTAAAAGCAAACCTATTTTAATGCGACACTTGGAGTTCTTTGCATTCCCAGACAAAACTCATTAAACACAATTGTCTGTGATAGGAGCACGCCTTTCAGGGTTGTAAAAGGCTGCCAAGAAACAGAAGTCCAATTACTGAGAAATATCAACTCACAGAAGTTCCGGCAAAGACAAACCAGAGTTCGCAGGGCTTCAAAGAGGAATAAGAGTCTAATGAACTTCTTTGCTTCCTGCAAAGAGCACATCCCCGAGGGCTGGCTTTTATCCCTTATGGGAGGGGCAATCACTTCCCAGCCTTACTCCCAAGTTACCCCTGCTGCTTCAGCTGCTCTCTCCTAGCAGCCCTGCGAACACACGCACTGGGATCAGGTTCCCCGGGGTCCTCTGCTTTACTGCTGCCAGACTCCAAAGGCTCCTGAGGTATCACCCCACTCTGACCCCACCCTGGCCCCATCTCTGCATCAGATGCAGGACCTTCATCCAAGTCCTTGCCAGACTCCCTGACTGGTTCCCTTTCGTCCTCACTGTCAGATAACCTCTGCCGTCTGCACCAGCTGCCGGCGAACCACAACGGTCTATACCTGTCAAACAGAGAAAGGAGGGAAGTCCCAGATGCCAACATCTGGCAGCTGAAGATGAAACAGGCTTGGCTTTGGGATGCCTGCTATCTCTTAAATACGGAGCTGGGGTAGCTTCCGTCATTTACCTGGATCTGGCAGCAGTTGTGACAGCTTAGCAGCCGCTCGTACATCACAGGTAGACACCTGCTCAGCAAAGAGGCAGCTGCCCTTTCGGTGCTCCCGCTTCTCTCTCCCTCCTTCTCTCTTTCTCTCTCTTTCCTTCCTCTTCCCCAGGTGGCTTCTCGGAAGAGGACAGACCCTAAAGATTGCCCCTTTGTGTTGTCTGTGTAATAGTGGTGAACGGGGACACCTCTTGACAGACAAAAGGTGCCGCGCCCATTTTTCTGACCTGGTTAAGCTTCTTCCGCTACTAAGCAGGATTTGGCAGACAGATCGGAGCTCAAATCTTAGGTATTGATAAGGAGCAAGTGGGGGAAGTGTGTTTCCTTTCCCCTCCCAATTAAACAGACTTCATGAAAGATGTTTGTTGGCTTTGGGAGGGAAGAGGGAAGGGATTGGGCCCCTAGTTTAATCCTCCCCTCACCCACCCCCCATGAATAAGTCCTAAACACATACTGGTTTGCAATTATTTTATTGATTAGATTTTAAAAGTAAGGCAGCAAACATACATAGTACTCCTCCCTCCTTCTATTTTCTCCACAACAACAACCCTCTGAGGTGGGATGGGCTGAGAGAGAGTAACTGGCCCAAAGTCACCCAGCTGACTTTCATTCATAAAGCAGAACTAGAATTCACCGTCTCCTGGTGATTGGCCCAAAGTCACCCAGCTGGACTAATCCATCAGTGGGTTAGGGTCAACTTTTTAGAGCCTTGTTTCATTTTGGG